TCTGCCATGTACATTGGTCAAACTGGACAGTCTCTACGTAAAAGAATAAATGGACACAAATCAGATGTCAAGAATTATAACATTCATAAACCAGTCGGAGAACACTTCAATCTCTCTGGTCACGCAATCACAGACATGAAGGTCGCTATCTTAAAACAAAAAAACTTCAAATCCAGACTCCAGCGAGAAACTGCTGAATTGGAATTCATTTGCAAATTGGATACTATTAATTTAGGCTTAAATAGAGACTGGGAGTGGCTAAGTCATTATGCAAGGTAGCCTGTTTCCTCTTGTTTTTTCCTACCCCCCCCCCCATGCTCTGGTTTAACTTGGATTTAAACTTGGAGAGTGGTCAGTTTAGATGAGCTATTACCAGCAGGAGAGTGAGTTTGTGTGTGTATGGGGGTCGGGGGGATGTGAGAAAACCTGGATCTATGCAGGAAATAGCCCGACTTGATTATATAAAGAGTTGTCACTTTGGATGGGCTAGCACCAGCAGGAGAGTGAATTTGTGTGGGGGGGTGGAGGGTGAGAAAACCTGGATTTGTGCTGGAAATGGCCCACCTGTTGATCACTTTAGATAAGCTATTACCAGCAGGACAGTGGGGTGGGAGGAGGTATTGTTTCATGATTTCTGTGTGTATATAAAGTCTGCTGCAGTTTCCACGGTATGCATCTGATGAAGTGAGCTGTAGCTCACGAAAGCTCATGCTCAAATAAATTGGTTAGTCTCTAAGGTGCCACAAGTACTCCTTTTCTTTTTGCGAATACAGACTAACACGGCTGTTCCTCTGAAACCTGTCATCCTGCCAAGCACTCTCTGGGATGGGAAGACGCTCCCTTTAGTTCAGTGGGGCTGAGGCCTTTGTTAAATGTGTCCTACTATATTAACAATAACAACATGGTTTGTATTTTTTTAAAGGCCTGATTGTTCTGAGGCAGTGAAGTGAGAGCTGGGGGTGGGTGGGTGGTGGTTCAGTGAAGGAAAAAGTAGTGAAATTGAGCCAGAGAGCAGGACTGAGGGGAAAGCAGCCGAGCAGCATTGGCATCCAGGGTGACAGCATAAAGGAGAATCACTTGTTCCCCTTCAATCAATTCACACTTTTGTTCCCCACTGCATGCACCTCTTTGCAGCTGAGCATACCAAGGGAGGGAGGGGAGAGGAGGCCCGCATTGTCAGGAGCTGTTAAGAAATACATTTATCAACAACAGGGCAAAATCCAGAGAGGAGGGAAGGAGCCTGCTGTCCCCAAAGCCGAGCTGGCAACAGCCTTTTATTTATTGATGGGGTTGTTCTGCTCCCGTGTTGGGGAATGCTCAGCAAGGGGAACGAGTGGCAGTGTGGGGGGAAGTTAGCCAAATTTAAATATTTATGCCTCTCCTCCACCACTTCTAAATGGCCCCAGATGGAGATGTTCGGCCAGTCCAAGAGCCATTCGAGTCATTCACACATCGCCATAGCAAGCTCCTTGAATATGACCCAGTTTGTAGTTTCCAAGTATTATTAGGACGGGTGACGGAAGACTTTTTGTCCTTTTTTTTTTGCATGTTTCTTTGGGAGGGATGCAGTTAGTAAAAGCTTCCTCTGCTGGCTCCCAAACTGAGCCGTCTGTCCAGTTAGACTGTGGCTGCATCTTATTAGAAGTCTTGGATGGAATATTTTTCAAACCAATGGAATGTCAGGATATACAGGAGGTGCATGTTCCTGTGATGTCGTCAGAGGTTAATTTCCAGTGAGGGTTACGTCTTATTTAAAATTGAAAAGGGCCCATTTCGCAAAGCTGAGAACAATTGAGCCAAGTCAGTTGAGATAGAGAATTGAAACAGAAAAATGTGAATAATTGGGAATTGTTTAAGAACACTTTACTAGATGCTCAAAAAGCCACACTCCCACAGCTGAGAAAGAAGGCCACAGTGGTTAAAAATCAACCTGGCTTAGTAGAGAAGTGAAAGCAGCTATAAAAATAATTATATATACAAATAAATAGAAGAAAGGGGATGTTGATAGTAATTAATTAAATCAGAAGCTAGAAATTGTAGAAAATGGATAAAGGAAGCAAAAGGACACAAGAAAAGATCTATGGACAGCAGAGTTAAGGATGTAAGACATTTTTAAAGTATATGTGGAAATGGTAGAATTGTCAATAATGCAGAAAAAGCAGAACAGTTCAATAAATATTTCTATTCTGTATTTGGGAAAAAGCTGGATGATGAAGTCATATAATATGATGGAATACTTTACATTCCAGTAACACAGGAGAATGCTAAAGAGCAGCTTCTAAAGCTAGACACTTTTAAATCAGCAGATCTGGATAACTTGCATCCAGGAGTGTTAAAAGAGCTGACCGAGGAGCCCTCTGAACTGTTAATGTTGATTTTTCATTAAGTCTTGGAACTCTGGGGAAGTTCCAGAAGACTGGAAGAAAGGTAATGTGCCAATATTTTAAAAGGGTAAGCCAGATGACCCAGGTAATTATAGACCTGTCAGTCTGACATCAATCCCGGGCAAAATAATGGAATGGCTGATAAGGGGCTTGATTAATAAAGAATTAAAAGAGGATGCTATAATTAATGCCAATCAAGATGCATTTATAGAAAATAGATCCTGTCAAATTAACTTGATATCTTTTATGATGAGATTACAAGTTTGGTTGATAAAGGTAATGTGACTAATATACTTAGACTTCTGTAAGGCATTTGAGTTGGTATTGCACAATATTTTGATTAAGAAACTAGAATGATACAAAATCAACATGGTACACAGTAAATGCATTAAAAACTGGCTAACTGATAGGTCTCAAAATGTAATTGTAAATGGAAAAGCCTAATTGAGCAGCTGTGTTCCTAGTGGTGTCTGCTGGGATCGGTTCTTGACCCTATGCTATTTCATATTTTTTATCAATGACCTGGAAGAAAACACAATTTGCAGATGATGCAGAGATTTGTGGAGTGATAAATAATGAAGAGGACAGGTCACTGATACAGAGTGCTCCAGATCACTTGATAAGCTGGATGCAAGTAAACTATGTGTGTTTCACTACGCCAGGGGTTCTCAAACTTGATTGCATCGCGACCCCCTTCTGACAACAAAAATTACTACATGACCCCAGAAGCGGGGACCGAAGCCTGAGCCTGGGCAAGAACCGCCATCCTGGGTGAGGAGGCCAAAGCCAAAGCTCAAGGGCTTCAGCCCCAGGTGGGGGGGCCTGTCATCTGAGCCCCACCACCCAGGGCTGAAGCCAAAACCAGAGCCCTGCCACGCCAGGCTAAAGCCCTCGAGCTGAAGCTTTAGCCCCCATTAGCAAGTCTAATGCCAACTCTAGCAACCCCATTAGAATAAGATTGGAACCCCACTTTGGGGTCCCGACCCACAGTTTGAGAACCACTGCAATATGCTAAACGTAAGGTCATACATCTAGGAACAAAGAATCTAGGCCATACTTGCAGGATGGGTGACTTTGTTCTGGGAAGCAGTGACTCTGAACAGGACTTGGAAGTCATGGTGGATAGTCAGCTGAACATGAGACGGTACAATGTTGTGGCCAAAAGGGCTAACGTGATCCTCGGATGCGTAAACTGGGGAATCTTGACTAAGGTTAGGGAGGTTGTATTATCTCTGTCTTTGGCACTGGTGCAGCCACTAATGGAATCCTATCTTGAGTTCTGGTGTCCACAATTCAAGAAGGATGTTGGTAAGTTGGAGAGGGTTCAGATAGCACCAAGAATGGTTAAAGGATTGGAAAACCTGCCTTAGAGTGAAAGACTCAAGGAGCTCAATCTATTTAGCTTTAGAGAAGGTGAATGGGTGACTTGATCACAGTCTATAAATACCTACATGGAAAATAGAAACTTGGTAATAAAGGTCTCTTCAGTCTAGCAAACAAAGATATAACGCAGTGGTTCTCAAACTTTTGTACTGGTGACCCCTTTCACACAGCAAGCCTGGAGACAAAGCAGGGTTTGGGATGGAGGCTGACAGCTCGTGAACCCCCACACAATAACCTCACGACCCCCTGAGGAGTCCCGACCCCCAGTTTGAGAACCCCTGATATAACAAGATCCATTGGCCGGAAGGTAAAACTAGACAAATTCAACTTACAACAACTTACTAAGAGATGTGCTGGATTCTCCATCACTTACCATGTTAAAATCAAGACTGGATTTGGCCTTCTGGTCTTGGAATCTTATAAACTTATAAACATTCCAGTGAACTTATAAACATTCCAGCGAAGTAGATCTCCCGTCTCCCTCCCCCGAAATATACACATTGCAAGAGTTTCTCTCTGTGATTTGAGTACTTTGGCTCAGACCCTTGTGTATTGTAGTGGTCAATATGCTGTTTCTTCCCTTTAAGAAGTGAGAAGATCTCTGAGCTTTGAAAGGCTGGTGACTTCATATAGCACTGTCAAGGGCTGTATTTCCTAGAGGAATGGATGGACTCTGCCATACATGTTTATTTTCATGTACATGTTAACATCCATATCTTAACAGTTCTAAAAGGTGCTGGCTATTAGAAGGTACGGTTTCTACACATCATCCCACATTGACTGATTGGGAGAGTGAAAGCAATGGAGGGATTCACTGCCAAGATTACCCTGGTGCTTCTGAGAATTGATTGATGGTGTGGGGGTCAGGATGGAGGTTTTTTTGGACATCACTGCACAGTAGATTGGGTTCAAGATGGCAGGGATGCAGGGGGTTCATCGTTTTCGTAAGTATTAGGCATGGGTTAGAGATAAGATCTCTAACTATGGGTTAGAGATAGGAAACCACACTGGATAGACTCGTATTCTGATTCGACAAGTCACTTTCCCCTCCCTCTGCCTCAGTTTCCCTTTACATAATACTAAAGAATGCTGACATAGCTATTTGGAGGGTTTGTAAAGTACTTGCCTGTGAGCCTTCTCCCAAAGGTGGTATGGAAGAGCCAGCGGTGGCAGTGACATGAAGGCTATTCTCCACAGTTTGTATTTAGGTGTCTTTTCTTTTTTCCTTTCCAGGTTTGGGAGAAGTTCTTAAACCCCAGAGCTCCACGGATCAACGTCTTCATGGCGGTCCCCACTATTTACTCCAGGCTGATGGAACATTATGAAGAACATTTCTCTCAGCCTCATGTCCAGGATTTTGTACGTGCCACGTGTCAGGATAATTTCAGGTAGCTGAAAGATGCCTGTCTTCACAGCCTAAGAGGCTTACAGACAAGACCTAGAGAGTACATCCTCTACCATAGATATGCTCACGCTGTCCCAGCCTTCCTGGGCTGGAGAAGGCTCACTAACACTGGAAAATGTTATGAGGGCAGGGTGTAAAGAAGGCTGGGTGCAGGTGATGGAGGAATGGAGAAGTTTGAGCCGTGTGCAGAGCATCTCGAGGGTAGCTCCAGCAGTGAGCACAGTGGATTGTAGGATGTCATTCCTGTAGTGCTTCCAGGTTCTCTAGGACTCTCTCGAGTTGTGGCACCAGGTTCTGCTTCAGTCCAATGACCAGGCCAATGGCAGGCTGTTCTTGCTTATTAAAAACCATCCGTCACGTACAGGCTCACAGTCCTGGCTCCAAAGCACAGACATGTATGCAGTTATGTTCAGGCAGAGTGCCTGATTAAAGGCTGGCCCTGCTGGATTCTTTTCTAAACTTCACCACTCTGCAAAGCTGGGCAAATCACTTCACTTCTCTGTGCTTTAATTTCTCACCCTGAAAAGTGAGAACGATGATACCTTGCAAGAGTGATTATATGTGGGGTCATTTTAATCCTCTAGTCTGACCTCCTGCATAATACAGGCCAGAGAACCTCACCCAATAATTTCCACATCAAGACCATACGTTCTCTTTGAGCTAGAGGGTATCTTTTTAGAAACACATCCAGTCTTGACTTAGACTGCAAGTGATGGAGGAGCTGCCGTGTCTGTGCTGTGTGATGTAACTTTCTGATACTGCTGAATGATCTGAGATTCCCCAAGGCACTACAGATGGGCAAAGGCTTCTTGTACTACAGAAGTAATTCTCTAGAGTAAAGAATATACTGGTGATCACCACGTGGCATTTCCTTGCACAGGTTAATGGTTTCAGGATCGGCAGCCCTTCCTGTGCCAGTCCTGGAGAGGTGGAAGAACATCACCGGACACACACTGCTGGAGAGGTACGGGATGACGGAGATCGGAATGGCACTTTCTAACCCCTTGCACGGAGTTCGTGTCCCAGGTATAAATCTTCTAAGGTGGAGAGGGTTGTGAGACCTTTGTGCCAACCTATATTTTATTGTTGTTAAATGCGTTTTGTTCTTCTACTCGGAGAATGTGTGTCTACATCCAGATTTCTCCCAAGTCAGGATTGGGTTAGGCGGGAAGCTGCTGGTCAGGACTGGGGGCATTGGCAAAGCTGTGGGGGAAGGAGGGGTCAAGGAGTAGGATGAGGGGAGTGCTGCTGGTCAGGATTCAGGGGCATTCAGAGAACTGTGGTGACCCATAATTCTTAATGGGGGGCACAGTTTAAAGGTTTGGGGGGCCCATGCGTCAACCCTGGGTGCAGGAACCTTCCTGTCCCAGCTCCTTGGCCCAGGACAGCCAATCCCACTGGCTCCTGGGCGGCTGGGGCTGCAGGAGTGGGGCGCACATGTCCATGGGCCAGCCCCCGTCCCTGGGCAGGGAACTCAAAGTTTCTCCCTGGAGTTCTCTGGCCCTCGCAGACACTTCAGCAGGAGGAGGGGTGCAGGCAGTGCCCCTAACTCAGCACAAGGAACCTGCTCCTGATGTCTTCCCTAGTGACCCTGTGCCAGGTCCAGGGCTGGTGCGCTCTCCCTGCCCTGGCAAGGTAACCTTCTGCGCGGGCCACTGCTGCCACCCCAGCCAGGCTCTTGCAGGCAGTCGCTGCGCTGCATAGAGGCAGCAACCTGGAGCGGCCACCCTCACCTGGCAGGAGAAGTGGCTCTGTCCTACTGCCTCCACTCCCCACTCGGGCCTGGCTACCGGGGAGAGGGGCCAGACAAGCTGGAAATGTGCCACGGGTGGGGTGCAGCATGAGAAGGACAGTGCCTTCAACACTTACAGAAATCGGGGGTGGAGCCTGTGTGGCCCTCCCCCCCCCCATGTCACCTCTGGCTGTGTAGGGACCCAGAGCTAGGATGAGGGATGCTGCCTGTCAGGACTGAAGGGCCTGGGCATAGCTGGGGAAACAGGGTTAGGATGTGGAATGCTGCCCGTGGTGATTGAGGAGTCTGGGTAGAACCATGGGAGTAGCCGCTGTGATATCAGGCAGGAGGCACTGGCCTCCGGAGCTGTGTGTGGAAAGCTGAAGTGTGCATCTGAACCCCAGTTTGTCATAAAGAAATAAAAATGCCTACAACCCAGGCCTGACTTCACTCCACTGTGGCAGAGCATTTTTACTGAAGGGTTCCTGGTAACATGTTTTTACCAGCTATTTTAGGGCTTTCCAGTGATAAAGGTAAATGCACTTGTATGATAAAGAAAGAGGGTAAATCTTAGTAAGAGCCTCTCTTTATAGTCCACAAGGGACGTGCTGTACAGCAGTTGCCTAATGGTGTCTGAGAAAGAGGGGTCAGCCCCTGTCTGTCTGCAGGGATTTTCCAGCTCCTCTTAGAGCTGCTGGAAGCAGGCAAACCAAGTTCCAGCATAGACCCTCCTGCCAGTTGTCTCTGTTTTTCACACGCTTGCCTCCACAGAAGTGACACTGCTGGCTAGGTTGAGTCTATATCCGTCTCCTCTGGCACAGCACTTCCTTGTTCCCAAAGGCTCTGTGCTTCCTCACTGCAGCACAGCAAAAGGACGGCGTTCTCTGTGGCTTGCCTTTTGCTTCAGCTCCTGGCTAATAGCTTTTCTGCCTTCCCAAGAGAAGGGCTGGCACTTGGACCTTCTCTATGAAAGGTTAACATGTAATACATGGGCAAGCAAGAAGCCTTGTGTTCAGCTGAGAATCAGGCCTGCTGGAGAGACTGGTGAGACGTATCCTTTGCATCAGTGATGGAGGGCTCTCTGAGCCTGCTTCCCTTTTAACTGAAGGGCCTAGCCACCCTTAGTTCTAAGGGCATCATCTGACCTTCCTCCACCTCTTCCTGATGAGGAGAGGAGAGAGGCATGCTGCATCTAGGTGGAATTTATTTATTTAGAATTGATCTGTTGCAGATTCACTGGTTTTTAACAGAATCTGCTTACTGCTTTTTGTTTTGATTCAATGAGGAGCAGTCACAGACTGGCTCAGGCTCTTCAGAGCCTCCAGCACAACCTGAAGTCTTCAATGGAAAAGATGGATCAGTCCACCAGCTCCACTTCTGCGGCGAGTCACAGGGATGGGCCTGTCCCCCAGTCTGTGATTCCTTGGAAGTTTTATTCATGTCTGGTATCTCAGTTAGGTTCTCCCCCAGCTAGCAAAGTGAACAACGCTGGGTACTTGAAACAGGATATCTGTTCACTATTATTTTAGTGCAGGTGTATTGCTCCTTTACAACCTAATACCTCCATTTCTGTGAATGTACGGAGGGTGGAGAGCAATTTTAGAGGTCACCACGTGGGAGGCTGCTTGTGGAAGTAGTTCTGATCTGTCCCTCCCGCACTGTTGGTTTTATGTGTAAGGTTCAGCACAAGCAGCTGCGTCTTGTGGACAAGGGTTGTCTTGCTGCTTTTCCTTTCTGAGTCTGTTCTGACCCTACAAGTCAGGTCTCGTTTGTCCTGGATTGAAAATGTGCTGTCACTGCATCTTCATTGAGAAAAAGAACCATTTCTCACCTGTGAGCATGAATTTGTGGAGTAACTATATCACTAAACCAGGTCCGCCCCCTTCTGGGCAGATAAGTGACAGCCTTCGCAATGTAGCCGAGGGGCTCAGAGTGCCATTGCATTCATTCTAAGGACAAGTAGCCCAGCTGACCTCTTTCTGAATGGCCTTGGTGCCTATTGAGGGTTACGAATGTGGCCCACCCATACATAGCCAAAATTTGCTTTCTGATGCATCTTCCTCCCCCTGCCTTTGCTCCACGCAGCTTTTGCATCTTTGTGATGTTTCCTCTTTGGCTTTCTTGTTACTGTTGTAGTTTTCGATACTTAAGAAGGAGACTGAGCTAAACTGCCAAATAAATAAAGGTAAAATTTGCTTTCTTCCATTGTTGTATGCAGAGTGGTAGCCATCTCAGACCCAGGTTATTAGAGAGACAAGGTGGGTGAGGGAATATCTTTTACTGGACCAACTTCAGTTGGTGAGAGAGACAAGCTTGGGTCAGAACCCAGCCTCCCCTCTGCTGAGCAGCACAGCCACCAAGAAAACCTCACTCCAGGGCTCAGCTTCTCAGCACTGACTCCCTGTTGAGTACTGTCTCAATTGCAGGGTGTTGGTTTCTATCTTCAAAGTTGTCCATGGCACCCAAGTTACCTGAGGGGACTGAACACCTTGCCAGGTGTTGTCATGACTCCCCCACGACAGCTCAATTCCACTGGAGGGAGCTTCATGTGTACAGGAGATGAAGCTTTCTCGGACTCTGGCTGATGAACCTGGAAATCACTCAGGATCAGAACAAAATGCAAATGCACTTCTCCAATCTTGCTGGCCCCCAATAACACACTCAGACGTCATCCCCCTCCTACACCAAATCTTGTCCCTGCTGACAAAAGGACAGAGCAAGTATGAGAATTATTTTGTCACGGGCACACTTTGTAATTTTGTGAGGTGCCTGGATACCACAATGACGGGTGCAGTATAAACACTAAGACTTAGTCTGCACAACAGAGTTGGGTCAGTGGAAGGCAGCTTAGGTCGACCTAACTATGTAAGTGTACACACTACAGCCTTGCTCCTGTCGATGTAAGTGCCCTATCAACACCAACATGATAACTCCACTTCCACTAGAGGAGCTGTGAAATTGACAAGACAGCCAGGCTGTCACCCTGGGGCGGGTGCGGGGCTCCAGGTAGAACCGGGCTGCTCCAGGCTCCTACCCGGGCTGTTGCTCGGGCTCCCCTCTCCCCACCAGGCTGCTCCCCGGGCTCCCCATGGGGAGCCTGGCTGCACCAAAGCTCCCTGCTCCCCACCAGGAGCCTGGGCAGCAGCAACAAGACACCTGGCTGCATCCAGGCTCCCTGCTGGGAGTCCAGCAACTGCCCGGACTCTGGGCAAAGAGCTCCCAGTAGGGAGCTGCGTGCAGAGCTGGGAGCCTGGGCTCTCTGCTCCCTCCACACTGCCCCTTTTCAGTCAGCGAAAGTGCTCCCCGTGAGGACGTGCACCACCAACCGAAGGAGGGTAGTGTGGACATGCACCACCGCAGCAATTTCTGTGGTGGCTGCAAGTTGACCTAACATAGGTCGACTTAAATTTATAGTGTAGACATACCTTAGGATGGTGCAGGGAGAAAGATGATTTCATTGCCTTCGTTTTCAGTAGGAAAAGTGAGAATAACCACCAGAACGAGAGAGAAGTTTTCCAAGGGATAAAGGTGAAAAAGAAGTGAGAGTGAGGGTGCTTCCGGAACAGACAAAAGAGAATAATTAGAACTGGAGACAGTCTCTACGACTGGATTGCTGACACTAGAATAAACCAAACCTATGGGCAAATGAGAGTACCCCTAGCAGAGACAATAGCAAGGCCTGGAGAAGTCCTAGTAACGGATCACACACGCATGCACACACACATCTCCATATATAAAGGGATCAGGGCAGAAATAGACAACTACAGACCTGCCAGTCTAACCTCTGTGTTGGAAAATACTGTAGAGGGAAAAGTAAGGGATGACTTGGACAGGAATGGGTTACATTGGTCTGCATTTACAAAAGGGAGATTCTGATAAACAGGTTTGATTAATTTATTTCAGGAACTGCCAATTGAAAAGCAGGTGGGTGAAGCAGAAAGCTAATTTACTTGTGCTTTGAAAAGGTTTTTGATCCAGTATCCCATTAGAGGCTAATGTCTAAGGGTATCCAGGTACAGTACAATACTGAGGGTGAAATTTTCAACAGGATAAATAGGTTAATGGGTTGGTAACAAAGAAGTGGGGGTTCTTTGGGACAGCTCCTATGGCGAAGGGGTATTAAAAGAGGGAGTTCTGAAAGGATTAGTGGTGAGCTCATACCTGTTCATGCTCACCCTTGACCTCTGGAAGGGGATGTGCTGCAACGTGGGCAAAACTTTAGAGAACACAGACCTGGGAGGGCCGGCCAGTCCTTAAAGGGAGAGACACTGGATTCTGTGAGACCTAAAAACAA